AATCATCCACAAGACTGAATTGAATAACTAAGCCTGAAACTTCCAAGTCCCAAAATTAAGAATCCAAGCCAGAGCTTAAGCAGAGTTCAATAAGTCAGTTGTGATCTTCTTGCCATCTTTGAAGGCTGAGAGCTTCAAAGCATCTTCTGACAGTCACATTGGAAGTCCAAAAAAGAACTGCCACCAGATGCATTCCTTTCAAGTCAAGTGAGCTTCAGTCCCTTCCTCAGCAGATTGCAGCTAAATATTGGTGTTGGAGAAGTCAATGAAAAAGAACAGATACTGAAACCTTCTATGAAGGCCTTAATTTGTGACTTTGATTCTCACAAACAGACAAGAAAAGATTCCACAAGGGAATACTTTCTATGGAAACATGTAAATATTTAAGCATATATGATGTTTGCTTATGAGAACAGTGACAACCAAAGAAATTCCTGTAGTTTAAAATCCAATACATTGTCAATATCTGAGTAGGAAATAAAGTGCTTGAATAATCCATCTTTGGGTGAAAAGAAAGAGAGGGTAGAGGGAAGCTGTCCAATAAGTGACTGGTGTTCCAGACCTCCTCATCCCACTATGATTGTGTTAGTCAAAATTCATGAGGCACCTCTAAGGCATCACCAACACAAGCAAGCAGTGCTCCAGTGATCACAAGCTTCTCCCTCAGCCTCCTGAGTTTGAGGCCCATCTTGTGCGAGTTTCACATCCCTGAAAGGAACTTTCTAGAGAACCAAGACCTTTGCATGGAACAGTATCTCCAGAGCAGGAAGATGCCCAGTGACAACAGGCCAGCCAAGGTCAAAGTAGGCATTTACAAGTCAACCTCAGAACCCAGCACCCAGCTCAAGTTTTTGGTGGAAAGGTGCACGATAACAGAAGTATTCAGAGAGCAAAGATGGCTCCAGTGAAACAGAACAAGGAGTTCCTAAGTGCAACACTGAACATAGAGAAATCCCTCTGGCAATTTAAACTTCATGGTCTTTTTTCCAGTAAGGAAAACTCTTGTTGATTCAGCAGCCAGACGAACTTCATACATTCCTCCTCTGATGCAATTCCAGAAACCACTTCAGGGCGTGAAACACAGGGTTATCTTCAGGGTACGCAAAGCAGGTTGACTGTGCCAGCCGAAGATTACTGTTACCTGTGTTGGATTGTGGATTTTGGAGTTCAAGGGGAAGGGGAATCAGAGGGATCCAGTTTGGAACAGTTTTCTCGTCAGCAGCAACGACAGGATTGCACATCTTTGCACAAAAAGCTTATTCATAAATACAGGATGACTGGAAACAAATAAACAGCTACTGTTCAGTTTTATCAGCTGTCTGGATGACTATGGCTGAAGAGATCACATATAGCAAAACACTTTCCTCTTTGAATAATACCACAAGCTGAAAATGCAGATCCCATAGCCCTCCTACATGCACCTGCATGCCAGAATCAGGACAGTAATTAACAGTCACTTCTAAATAAATATGTACCTTTCCTGAAACAGATTCTCCATCGTAGAAGAGAAAATGCTTTTCTACTTTACCATCTTCTGTTTTGATTTCTGCTGGTTTTCGTGTTTCAGCATCATTAAGGACAACATCAATCTCACAAACAGGAACGAAAAGGTTTCCAAGAAAACTCTGGAATAACAAGAATTGGATAAGTTACTACACAGTGGACACTCCATTTTAAATGTGGTGTTCACTTGCAGCTGTGCACTATACACTGGGGAAAAGCATTTGTGCTTCCATGAAGTTACAAACCCATTATGTATCAGAGACCCAAGAAAGAGTGATGACAAAGGACAGTTGTTCATCCAGCAAGTAACTGAAATCATGTCAGTAACAAGCAGCGACAGTTCTTACAAAATATACCATTTATAAAAAGTACAGTGTAGTTACTACTACTCAAAACAAACAAACAAACAAAAAAAACACTAAAGCAAAGTAGGTACAAAAGGGGGTATCATGCAAGGCCTAAAGCATCTCCCTGGTCAGGGAAGGGGAATAGGCACTTTATTTGCTGCCCCTGCCTACACCCCTAGTTCTCTTTAACAAACAAAGAGAGCACGAGCAGCTTGGAGAGACAGCAGTTCTTCATACAACCACCTCTGCTACACAGCTCTGCCAGCACACAGAGGGGTGTTCCAGGTGTACCTGTAACACTGCTCCAGGCACAATGTTTGTGCTCAGCTCACCACAGCATTCCCCAGGCTGCAGCTCTGATCACCCCAAACACGAGACCCTATGAGAGATCATCCTTTGAACTTGCACAAACACTTCTTACAACGGGCTCCAAAACATGTTAGTGCCTCTATGGGAAACTCAACAAGATTAGTACAAAAGCCAACACTTTCCTCCTGAGAATTAGACACTAATCTGCTTTGATGTACTAAAGCAGACAACACTTCACTAATTCACGATGATTTGGGGTTTTTTTTTTGAGAAATTACACTATGTTCTCCACGAGAACATCTGTTTCAAATAGATAAATTTGGTATACATGAAACAGCCTGTCCTGGTTTCAGCTGGAGTTCACTTCTCCTAGAAATAATTTCTTCTAGAGTTAATTTGTTCCCAGTAGCTGGCATAGTGCTGTGTTTTGGATTCAGTATGAGAGCAAGGTTGATAACACACTGAAGTTTCAGTTCTTACTGAGTTGGGTTTATCCCAAGTCAAGGATTTTTTTTGTGCCTCACACTCTGACAGTCAGGAGGTGCACAAAGAAGGTGGAGGGGAGCATAGCCAAGTGATCCAAACTAGCCAAAGGGATATTCCACACCTTAGAGTGTCCTGCCTAGCACACAAACTGGGGGAGTTACCCAGAAGGGGCTGGTCAGGGTCTGGCATTTTTCAGAGGGTGGTGAGCAATTGTATTGTGCATCACTGGTTTTTCTTTTTATTATTAACTATTATTATTATTATTATTATTATTATTATTATTATTATATTTTACTGTGTTTCAATTATTAAGCTGTTCTTATCTTAACCTTCAAGTTTTACTTCTGCTTCTCCTCTCCATCCCAGTGGGGTGGGAGGTGAGGGAGCAGCTGCCTAGTGCTTAGCTCCCACTTGGGGTTAAACCACAACAGTCATTCTCACTTCACCAATTTAATATAAAACATTGAGTAAGAACACCTTCCAAGACATTCTGGGGACCTGAGGTTTGAAATGCTGCATTAATAACAACAAGCCCAGAGGAAAGTTTGGTCTGAATGCCACTGCTCAGCAGCAGGAACTCTTTGTGCTTACCCCTCCAAGCCAAGCAGAGACACAGTGCAAGCTGGAGCTATAGCGCCCACACAAGACTAAACTTTGTTCAGACAGCAATCAGCCCTAATCCAATCCACAAAGATGTATATAACTGTGTATATGAAACCCAGTTATATTCACTTCCCATTCTGAGGGGAAAGCAGCAGCAGCAGAGGACCAAGAAGGTGGTCAGATGTAAAACTGAACTGTCTTCCAAGTCTCTGCCAAGCACAGATTTGCACTGACTGCCAAAAAGATGTTTTGTTTTGTTTTTAAAACACTGCACACCAAAACCATTACTGATTTTTGGCTCCTGGGGAAGAGCAAAAAAAAAAAAGTTTGAAGAAGAACTCCAAATTTTAGACTCTTTTAAACATAAAATGCTTTTGAGCATGCCCACATTTTTTCCTTAGAAACTGTACTCATTTCCCCAAAACTAAACAAGAGAGCAGGGGGAGAGCACGCCACCTCTAAGCAAACAACAAGATGCTCTCACAGTACCTTCCAACTCTGAAGCTGCACCATAATTAACAGTCAGCCAGACCTAACACTGGTAACATCACTTCTCAGGAGGCTGCGTGTGAGCACTTCAACTGCCCCCATACGAGATTAGCTCTGATCTCCTCCGGGGAGGACAAGAACATACGGAATAAAGAAATCAACAGCTGGTATCTCCCCCAGTTGCTGTCGAAGATACCGCTACAGGGAAACTATGCAAAACGAGAAGTATTTTAAGAAGCCACCATACAGCTTATTATGTTACAGCTTCGGAGAATGCAGACGGAGAACTGGGGTTTTCAGAAACTCCTGTTTCGAGCGTTCGGACGCCTGGCTGTGCTGTTGGGTTTATTCAGAAGACAGACGCTGAAAATGCTGCTACATCGGGGCTAAAACCCCATAGCACTGAGTCCTAAGTGCGAGTGAGAGCTGCCCTGAAGGGCCTGGGGGGCTCCGGCAGCTGGCACAGGGTGCAGAAACCCCAACCTCAGCTTCATCCCGAGCTCCGAGCGGCTTCTGGCCCCCCAACAGGGGCAGAGACACGCGTCGGGGAACACGAACACCCCAGAAACACACAGCGGATCGATCCAGGGACTCTTTATGACACGTATTTTTTTACTCCTCGTTAAAACAGCCCTGGGAGCACGCCCAGCGCTCCCGCCGGGCACAGCGCGGCCGCCCTTCCTGGACGGCGCGATCCCGAGGGATCCACCCGTGTCCCGGGACTATCCACGCGCCTTCCCCGGCCCAACCCCGCACCGGCGTGGGCACCGGGCACCTCTAACCCGTACACAGCACTAAAACTCCCCCAAACCCTCGCTTTT